ATCATTAATTTTTTTAGTTAAGCAAGGTATTTTTTCCAAAACAAAGCCGCGGGTTGTTCACGCCCGACTAAGACGTCATTGGCCAAGTGGTGATCACATGACGCACGAAGGAGGAGGAAAGATACCCGACCAAGACCTCATTGGCCGAAAGTGGTCACGTGACGCACGAAGAAAACTGTCGACGCCCCCATCCAGAGTATAAGTATCAGAAGCCGCTACGAAGAAGTGGGGAGGGCAGTTCACACCCCTCAAAAGCATGGTGAGAAAGTGAGAGTGAGAAAAAAGTTACCAAAAATGAAAAAGAGTAGAAAATCCCTAACCAGAAATAAAAGAGGCGGATATGTATTTAGAATTATCGAGGAACTCCCCGACGCTAACAGACCCAACCCGGTTTTTGACGGCGTCAATAAAAACGAAGCCCCAACAGACAGAAATCAGTTCAGTCGGACTCTGGCGGGCAGTAGTTCGTTCGACCCTGGCGGGCAGAAGACAGTTAGTTCAGCCCTGGCGGCAGAGATGATAGATCAAGATAGCTGACCAAGATTCACGCAAAATTTTGGACTCCTCTTCAACCAAGAACAATTATTTTGAAGAGCGACTTAGAACCAGACCACAGAGATAAGTTTTTCGATTTTCGTCCAAAGACACACCGAAACACAAATTTCTTAGAGAGCAAACAACTTGAAGCGTTAAAACTTGCCTAGCGAAAGCGACGTGTCACAATCCACAGAACTGGTCGGGAGATAGATGCAGTCCTATGTATCGAACAACTAGACATAAAGTTTGTTACTTTTTTATCTTTGATACTTTGAACTTTTGAGTTTTCATTTTATTTTCTTTTTGCATATTTTGTGTTATCACCCCTGTTGAACTCAATTTGCATTACGGTCCCTAAACCCTGTTTGATCTCGTCTGTCTAAGATCAATTCACAACGTGGATAGGCAGACTAGAGATCAGTGCAGTTACCTTGGTAACCAGGCGTTGGAAGCGAGTTGTGAACGGCGAGGCTGGTATTAAATCTAACCAGATTCCCACCCGAATCACCAAAATGTTAGAACGTCACATTTGGGTGCCGCGACTGATACCAAGCTAGTTGGCCGTCACAGTACGAGGCAACACGACTGACGCGACAGGCGGACGTCACGTTTGGAGCAGCGACACTCGGACGGATCAGCGAGGAGCGAACAGCTGGCGCCGCAGCGAAGACGTCACAATTGGTGCTGTTTGGGGACGTCACAACTGGTGTCGTGACCGGGATAGGACCCTGGAACGGCCACGTCACAACTGGCGCCGTGGTAGATCAGGATAGAACGTCACAGTTGGCGCTGCGACCGGGGAACGTCACAGTGGGATCAGGCTGTGATCATAGACAAAGAACATCATTGGAAAATTCGTAAACTGATGGAATCAGCACATATGCTAGGCCACAAAAATTTCCTGAGCCAACCAAGCATAGAAATGAATACAATATGGGAACCAGTAATAAGAAATGCCAGAAAAAAAGCAATAATAACAACAAAAACTGCAATACGAGCTCTGGTAAAAAAAACATGCAATGATAACAACAAAAATTACAATATGAGCACTGGTAAAAATGGTTTGCTGGAGACATTAGGCTTATAATACCCAGACATTCCTACACAGATGGACACATGGCACAGTGGATAAAGGCGTTAGTTAGATCCAGTGACAAGACCCAAAGAGTGCGAGTTCAATACCTGGTTAAGGCGGTGGAGAACTTGGAGAGGAGGTAACAGGAGGTAACTGATAACTGATCTCTATTAGACATGGCACGTGGAACCAGCGAGATAAAGGTTTCAGTTCGACATCCCAACCACCTGAAGAAGGCCAGGGCGTACATCGGCCGAAACGTTGTGTTAAATATGGCAACAAAGATTAGGACAATAGTCCGAATAATGTAAATAGTGTATCTTAAAATAGTTCAGATATATAAAAATGTATATATCATCAGCCGAATTTAAATTACTCTAGTTGGTACGCATCGAAACACGACTGCAATTGTATAGAGATTTTAACATGTTTTCTATGTAATATCCTAAAATAAAGAAGATTCCTCGATTTTTCCTTTGATCAAAAAATCGTTAGAGTGAAGGAGATAGTATCTAGGGTGCCACTCATCTGTGCAAAGTGCAAAAAAAAGCAATGTTACTATTATGCCACCCCGTAAACAAAATATGATTTTAACTAAAATTTCGAACGTGTTAGAAAGGATTTTAAAAAATTTAAAAATAATCAAAAAATACGTTGGGCTTTCATCTTAACAATAAAATAAACATTTTGATGATAAAACTTTATTTTTATTAAGCTTGTGGCTTTTTCCATTACACTATGTTGTTTTCTGCGAAAAAGTGGCGGTACCTAGATTAATTTTTATTTATTAAACCAACAGATTTTTATGACTTAAACCTTATTTTTATTGGATACTGCAAGAAGGAGGTGCATTAGGAGGAGAAGGAGGAGGAGGAGAAAAACAAGATGAACGAAGAGGATAAGAAGAAGAAGAAGAAGATTCATCTCGTTCAGACAAATGAATTCAATCAACAATTTCGTTCTCCTTAACGTAACTGACGAAAGCTTTCAGTTGATAGCATTTTATACTAAATAAATACAACATTATAAAAATCACAACCTAATCGCCGAGGCCATTTTCTCCAGGTCACGTGGATTTTTGTCAATGTAGTGTATCGAAAATGACACTTGCATTATACTGGCGATTATAATTAACACTGAATGGTCCACTAGACTCACGAAACAGAGATATTCAATCCTTAAAATATACAAGATTACATTGTAGAATACAGTAATCATTGCAGGTTAATGACAGACATAACCCTATATTGAATAAAGGTTAAACCTTTATGCATGGCATTATTACGCTGTAACCACTCTAGATGGACATACCGGAGCTATTACCTGTCCATCAGGTTTCAGTGAACCGGTAGGTCTTATTAATTTATGCATAGATTCTAGATGAAATTTGAATATAATTACTATTTCCCGCAGAGTATAATGTTATTAATTCTTAAGTAATTTAAGTTCACTGCTGTCAATATTAACCTCTCCACGCTGCCGTGGAACATCGTTGAAATCGAAATCATTAATACATGATATTATTTCGGATATACAGGTCTTAAATTGATACTTACCTGGCAAAGGGCTCCGTCTGGTATCATGGCTACGACTAGCTTGGACCCCTCTGACCAAGTTGGACCAGCTATGACAAGTCAAGACCAGCTAGGACTAGCTTAGACCAGCTGTGACCAGCTTGGACAAGCTATGACCAGCTAAGACCAGCTATGACTAGCTTAGACCAGCTTGGACAAGCAATGACCAGCTAAGTTCAGCTATGACTAGCTTAGACCAGCTCTGACAAGCTATGACCAGCTAAGACCGGCTATGATTAGCTTAGACCAGCGGTTCGAGTGAAAACACTCGGGTCCCCACGTTAAAAACTGACCTTGTGTAACAGCCTGACTCAGTGAAGGGTCAAGTAAATATTTACAGGTCTTAAACTAACATTCAGTTACCACCTTATGTCCATGAAAACGCTTTCTTTCAGCTATGACTAGCTTAGACCAGCTCTGACAAGCTATGACCAGCTAAGACCGACTATGATTAGCTTAGACCAGCAGGGATTTTCATTTCAGTTGGGGAAGATCCATATATATATATATATATATATATATATATATATATATATATATATATATATATATATATATATATATATATATGCAGTAATAGACAAGGGAACGGAAAATTCTTGTATTACCAAAGATAAATTACAAACTTGAGTTCTGTATTTCGTGGGACGAGGTATAAAGTTTAAAATGTGCAAAAATAGTATTATTTTTTCTTGATCCGAATCAAAATTCGTCTACAACCATGGGGGCTTGTCACTGTAAATTGATTATATGTTTATATTCGAATGAGGTAAAGAAATAAAAAAAAAAAAGAAAACTTTATACTGCTTCTCTGTATTCGGACTGTTCGGTCAAAAACTTTATACCGCATTCTTTGCATTCTGGTTTTGTAATATAAAATATAATGGAGTATAATAATAATATAACATAATAAAAGGTGTCCATAAAGTTCGTGTGCACTTTAAAAAATTTATAACTTTATTTGTATTTGCGATAGAAATAATCTGTAAAAAACGTTATAGAGTGTAACCTACCTAGTTTTAAGTATAGCTAAATTAACTAATATGATTTCAGGCATTACTGTAAATCACTTGGCAAATGTTTTCCGTGAACTGCAAAATCGTATAACCTTTTGTATTGCTAATGATGGAGGACATGGGAACACTTAAATAAAATTTCAATATAACCTTAAAAAAATATAGATTTACTTCTTTCTAATCGTTTTTAGAATAATAAAGTTATAAAGTTTTTAAAGTAGACACGAACTTTATGGACACCCTGTATATATTATACAGGGTGTAATACAATAATATTAGGTTGGTGCAAAAGTAATGTCGTTTTCTTTTGAAGTTGAACGTCAAAAAACGACATTATTTTTGCACCAACCTAATAATAATGGACACCCTGTATATATTATACAGGATGTAATATAATAATAATAATAATAATAATAATAATTATAATAATAATAATAAATATGCCACATGGGAACATCAACAATCCCTGTTGAAGTTGGAGTACTAGGATTGGTTGTAAAAGATTCCAGTAGACGAATTGAAGGGATTCCTGGAAGCCCATGCCTCAAAGTAATAAAAAATGTTCTCACAAGTACAGGACACACTTTACGAAGGACTTTATCTATGTAAAATATGAGTGGGTTTTTTTTTTTGGGGGGGGGTTCTAACCTTAGGTCTCTGGGCGGAACCCGGAAAGAAATAAGTAAATGCCAGAAATGAAAAGAAATAAAAACAATAAGAATATAACATAATAATAATAATATAATATTATATAAAATATAATGTAAAATTAAGCTGTACCTTTTTATAGGAGTCAGCTTACGGCCACATCACTTTGAAACATCAGCTCCCGTACGATCACTGACGTGAAGCAACGTCGAGCCTGGTTATTACTCAGATGGGTAACGGCTTGGGAATAGCAGGTGCTGTAAGTTAGGATGTGCAATGAGTTAATAGGTAATGGTTCGGGAGTTTCAAACCGAGTTTGAATTCAAATTAGGTTCATTATATTCACTTACGCGTAAATACCCTTGAGAAATGTTTCAATACACCTCTTCTTCCCCCTAGCTGTTTGTTAATTAGTCACATATGTCTCTCTAAATCATTCTTATCGCACAAAAGAAAAAAAAATACAATCTAAATATATTTTATGGCTTTAAATAACTTGTGAAAGGTTGATAAACTGTGAAGTACGAGTTACTCAACTTCTACGTTGCTCATAAGGTTATGTCCGTGGTATTCTCAGCATCCTTCTGTAGAACCATATTTTTGCTGCTTCAATTCTCTTCATCATCTGTGATGAGATTGTCTACCATTCACTGCAATATAGGCAGGCAGATAAGTAGAGATGTTTAAAAGTATGCCTCTAACATTATCAATACGTTGTTGAAATGAGCAGTTAAGTTGAAATTGATATTGTTGTGTAGATTTTGAGGTTATTAAACAGATGTTGAAAGTATGTAGCACTTCAACCAATACATATATATATATATATATATATGTGTGTGTGTGTGTGTATGTATGTATGTGTGTATGTATGTGTGTATGTATGTATGTATGTGAGTGTGTGTGTGTGTGTGTGTTTGTGATTGCGTGTGAGTATTTGCGTGCATGTGTGATATGGAAGTGTATCGAAAATTGTTCTCGCCCAGATCCATTTAAAAAAATATGTATTCTGAGGTCTGCTAATTGGAATTCAGAGTCTGGGAAGCGCTTCAAGCTGTCAACTGTTCAGGACTCTGATGTTCGAGTCTGCAAACGCACACACACACCCTTCCACAAACACGTGCACAAACGCACACATATACCAATACACACATATCTATCTATCTATCTATCTATATGTATATAGTGATTTTCCAAGCGTGGCTTAGATGTGGCACAAGGCCGAAATTAGGGAGCACACAGTGAGTATCGAACGCACTACTCAGTTGTAATTGTTCTAGCGAACCACGCTTCCTAACCTATATATATATATATATATATATATATATATATATATATATATATATATATATATATATATATATATATATATATATATATATATCAAGGCAGTGTAATGGTTAGGAAGCGTGGTTCGCTAGAACAATTACAACTATATATTAGCAAGGAATAAGCGTAGTAATTCTAATTACTAAATAATAACCGCTTTCGTCCCAGTCTTATCAACTTTATTTGTTTTATTTTTTCCCATGAGTCATCCGCTATTTAATTTACACGTTTCTTATTTAATTCCCAGGAAGAAACTTGATAAGACCGGGGCGAAACCGTTTGTTCTTAGCTATTTGAATTTCCATTAAAATGCATTTTAATTTTTAATATATATATGTGTGTGTGTGTGTGTATGTGTTTGTATGTATATATATGTGTGTGTGTACGTATATATATATATATATATATATATATATATATATATATATATATATATATATATATATATATATATATAAAAAATAAAAGGCACTAATATTCCATGCAATTGTATCGTATTTACGATTCCAATGGAATAAATTATGACTATGGAATAATAGTTTTTAAGCCTTTTTATTATATTCTTACTCTGTCCTGGACATTGAGTTCTACCTGGATTCTAGCGTCTTGGAATTTTTTATTCAAAAAATATACATGTATGTGTATGCACCTATGTATATATATTTATATATTTTGCATATGTATGTGTATATTTACCACTAATATTATCTATCTATCTATCTATCTATCTATCTATCTATCTATATATATATATATATATATATATAATCGCTTCAACGTATATGCACGCACACTCATGTATATTCCAATAATCGAAATATAATCGAATCACACGCAAACGGGATTTTTTTCCTTTGAATATGAGACATTTAGAATTCGTCGATAAACAATATTTAAACATGGTTATCCGATAAAATCTTCATCAGTTATCTGTTAAAATCCTTATCAGATTTTTGCGTGGAAACCACAAAGGTTCATTTGATCCAATTAACTCAATAATCAAACATCTTAGTAGCTTTATTGCTGAGATGATTACAAAGAAAAAAAAAATTATATATTATATCTCCCGAATCTTTATCTAACTCGATTTCTCCGATATACAGCATTTCAAAAATCATGTATCACATCTGTCTATATTTCTGAGAGGAAGGCCCCGAAACGGTGCACATTCTCTCCTGATGACCCCAGTTTAAAATTCGAGAGGAACACATCAAAATTCAGTGAAGTCATATGCCGTAGAGAAGCTCGGTGGAAGTGTCATTGGCATGAGGAGCATTACACATTCAGCTCGCTTCAGGTGGGTTTCAATTACTTTCCAGTAATTTCCTTCTTCTCTCCCGAATCATTATCTAACTCGATTTCTCCGATATACAGCAAAAAATCATCTATAACATCTGTCTATATTTCTAAGAGGAGGTATCATTATTCGGACTATTGTCCACATCTTTGTTGCCATATTTCTTACAAAGTTTCGGCCTTTCAGTATCTGTCTATATTTCTGCGATGAAGTATTATATACACTATTTATATTATTCGAACTATTGTCCTCATCTTTGTCGCCATATTAATTACAACGTTTCGGACGTTGTACGCTCCGGTCTTCTTCATGTGGTTGGAATGCTGCGGAAAGAAATATAAAGGGGAGACAGGCGGCCTCCTTAAGGTAAGGCTTCAACAACACCAGAAAGATGTAACACGAGTGGAAATGAAAAAAATCAGGCGTGGCTGGCCACATATGGCGAGAGAATGGAGATCACCGCCCTCTGTGGGATCAGGTTGAGATCATAGACAAGGAAAACCATTGGGAAATTCGTAAACTTAAGGAATCAGCACATATGCTAGGTCACAAAAATCTCCTGAGCCGACCAAGCATAGAAATGAATACAATATGGATAACCAGTAATAAGGATTGCCAGAGAAAAGCGATAATATCGACAAAAGTTGCAATATGAGCTCTGGTAAAAACATATAACGATAAAAGCAAAAAATTGCAATATGAGCACTGGTAAAATGGTTGCTGAAATTCATACACACATGTGCTCATGGACACATGGCACAGTGGACAAAGGCGTTAGTTAAATCAAGTAACAGGACCCAACGAGTGTGAGTTCAATACCCGGTTAAGGCAGTGGAGAACTTTCAGAGGGAGAATTAACAGGAGATAACTGATAACTGACATCCATTAATCATGGCACTTGGAACTAGAACAGTCTACCCCAGTGAGCGAAATAAAGGGTTCAGTTCGAAATTCCAACCACCTGAAGATGGCCGGAGCGTTGTAATAAATATGGCGGCAAAGATAATAATGTAAATAATGTATCTATCACATTTAGCAAATGTCTAAATAAGCTTGACTTGCATAAACCAATAGCAGAACATGAATAGGGAGTTAGTGTAACAGGATAATCCTTCTTTAGTACTACAGGATTTAGGAATTTGTATAGAGCTATGATCGCCCACGTCCTGAAGAGGAAGGAGATTTTAAGGAAAAAGTAAATTAGATTCAAACCTAACTAAACACTCATTCTTTGGATTCTCATGAATAGAACACGCAGCAAAACTCAACCGAAGATAAGGCAAGAACAATGAGGTTTGGTTAAGATATTGAAAGAAGAACTACAATCAGAATACAATCACAGATGCTCATAGAAACACATATCTAGCTTTGTCACAAAAACGGCGAAAAACTCTCGCTATCTAAACGCATGATGTTTTGTTCTAAAAAGAATTTTTTCGCAGATGTTTTGTTCTAAAAAGAATTTTTTTCATTTTATAAAAATAGATTTCTTGTTCGTTCAGTGTATTGATAAAACTTAGTGTATTTATAAAACTAGATTTCTTGTTCGCTTCAGTATATTGAAATCCTCACAATTTTTAGTATTGTTGACGTTATTGCTAACATTTTTTGTTGAGATTTACAAACTATACGTTTCGTTCAAAAGCAATCGATGAAATTCGTTTGGAAAAATAATTTGACAATAACCCTACTTCGAAGTTTAATTATTTCTCTAATTTATTCTAATTGTAAAGGAGATCATGGTAAATTTAATTTTGAAGAACATTTTTCCCCACTTTTTTAACAGCGAAGAATAAATTATTAGGAACTGTTACTCTTGTGCATGCAACATACAACTGGCCAGGCGTAAATATTTTGTTCTGGAGTCAAATTGCAAATTTCTGACGTGTTTGGCCCAGTGATTTGTTTATAGTTCACGCAAACTGGATCTTTGCATATAAAAAATCTTAAAGAAAATGTATGTAAAAACAATGTTGCATTTTTATTAAATAGGTATTTGTTATTTTAATCATTAAATGTTGTATGTTAAATAATCATACTTTTAATTTTTCCAAACAAATTAATGACAATTTATTGTACTAAGCTACGCGCTCTAGTAATATCAACTGTACTTTGTACCCACTGACCTTTTGCTCTTCTCCCTCAAATTTGGTTCCAATCGGTCATTGTATGGCTATATTAAAGGGTGCGTCGGATGAACGGACGAACGGAGGTTACAGAATTTTATATATAGCTTTCAGAAGAATAGAAACGACATTAACGCTAGACGAAATTATACACTCACAATAACGAGCAATACCGTATCTCTACCATCATAAAGTTACATACGTGGATACATACACACACATACGCAGACACACACACACATATATATATATATATATATATATATATATATATATATATATATATATATATATATATACGATTGTGACAGATTTACCTTGACGTTTGTCGCGCACACGCAGTAAGTTAAAACGTTGTCGCTCACTTCCGTTGTTTATAGCAGTGCTTGGGAGGAAAGTGTGTAGAATGTGGTCGCCTCACCACACCACAGAGGTTCCATCAGTAACCTTTGACTGTGAGGCAGTTTTAGACCAAGGACTACCTTCCCAAAGTCCGGCAAACACCATAATCCAT